AACCACACCAAACCCCTACCATTCAGTTGATTCTGACTCATAGTGACCCCCATTGGGTTTCCAAGGTGCTAAATCTTTACAGAAGTAGATCGCCCCATCTTCCTTCATCAGAGCAGCTAGTGGGTTTGAACCACCAACCTTTTGGTTAGCAGTTAAATGCCTTAGGCACTGTGCCATCAGAGCTCTTTATTGACTAGACTATGCAAAGATATTTGACTGTGGGTCATAACAAATTATGGATAACATTGCAAAGAATGGGAATCCCAGAACACTTAATTGTGCTCTGGAGGAACCTGTACATAGACCAAGAGGCAGTCGTTCTACAGAACAAGGGAATTTGCATGGTTCAAATTCAGAAAAAGTATGCATCAGCGTTATATCCTTTTACTATACTCATTCAAGGAGCTCTGGGGGTGTAGTACCTAAGGCATTTGACTGCTAACCCGAAGGCTAGAACGCTTCAAACCTACCAGCTACGTCTCGGAAGAAAGATTGGGCAATCTACTTCTGAAGTGGTACTACATCAGAAACCCGAGGAAGGGTCACTGTGAGTCAGATCTGACTTGTTGCCAGTGAGTTTGTTTTTTATACCTAACTCTGTATGCTGAAAAAGTCAAGGAAAGTTTTATCTATGGAAGGAAATTTTCTTTGTTGGTTACCAGGGGTGAGAGGGGAGGGGAGGGAACACTGTTAGATAGATAGAGATAAGTATTGATTTGGGTGAAGAAAAGGGCATTGTACCAAATGTGAGTGATCAATATGGTGGCATTGAGGAAGAGAAAGACATAGAGAGGTACATGGGAGGTACAGACAACAAAGATGAACCCTTTTGCACATACATTACTGCGTTGTTGGTGAAGGCAAACATGGGTATACGGGTGGATAGATGGGTGGACAGGCTGAACTAGGTATGTCTGTGAAATGGGGAGTATACCCAAGAACATGTATAGGGTTGGCAGACAACGGTCCTGTAAGTTTATGTGTATGATCTGAATTCCCAGGTGTATAGTAGAGCTGACAAGAGGCAAGGTGGTAGTCACTGCTTGGTCACAGCCAGCTACCCAGAGGGACCGAGTAGTTGAACCAGTGGGCTCGGGACCATAG